TGTACTTGTTTCAGGTAATCGAATTTCGGGGAACTTTAGTAAAAGCTTCGCATTCTATTTGCAGCATACCAACTCTTAAGATAATTCCCAATGATATGGTACGTATTGTATTGACATAATATCAGGATCTCGATCAGGATTGACCTGATGATTTCAATCAATTGCTTGATTTGGATCAATCGAATTTTAAGTTATCAATAATCCAAAAAATTAAATATTTGTATAAAAATTGAATCTAATCTAAACTGTTTTGTAATTTTGAGTTTCGAATCAAAAGTTTAGTCACTCACCTTTTTTTCAAGAGTTATTCCATTAATATCAGAGAATTATGAAGTTATCTTCTATGTGCGAATAAATGGTGATCCAGATAACATTTTTTTGGAAAAAAACATGTCGCATAATCTTTTTGTAAACAATTAAACTTTTCACCAAGAGATAAATTGCTGGAGTAATATGAGTCATAGTTGAGTAATTTTGTTCAATAGGAAAGTAATACAGAGTAATTATTGCGAGTAATAGTGAGTAAGAATATTAATGAGGACTAGGTACCACATAAGACATACTATATTTCTTTTCCGCACCCATGTATGGGTAAATACCTGTGTAATTTGCCTAAATTTTTGCAGGCGTATTGCTTGCCGCCTGGAGATGACACCTATTAATTTATAGACTGCAGAAGGAACTTTGTTATTTATAGGCCGATCATCCTGAAATTTGAACAGTTTTAATAAAGGCAATTCGTTTGATTATACTAAACATGTGAAAACCTGCGCGCGCGCATGCGCATAATAAACTATTATTTGTGGATTCCTCTTTCTGAAATTTTAACAGAAGCGCCTGTTAATAAAATTAAATTTATTGATTATATTAACGTTTCAAATGCTGCGTGCGCGCATGCGCATAGTTAAATTTCTTATTTATGGACCAAAACATAAGCACCAGTTAATAAAAGTAAATTGATCAATTACATTGAACATGTAAAGCAACGTGCGCAGAAGTAAATGTTTAGCGCATTTTTTAAAAATGAAAAAAAAATAAAATTTTTGTTCAAAAGTGTTGGGATCTTAAAGAGTTAAAGAGTAGATGATTTTGGACATTTTATATTTATTTATTATATCAAAGCTAACTCTTGCTCATCGATAATATCGTTCAATAATAGAGTAAAGTAATAAAGTTCGATGGGTAACTGCAAATTCAAATCGGGATCACAATGTTCCAAAATACTTAATTTAAATGAATCAAATTTAGTCCATTTCGCAAAAACTTAAACGTCCTATTGGTAATCAGGCGCTTTCTTTCGGTTACTTCGCGATCATGATTTTAAGATCGTGATTCTTAGGATTACGTTTTACTGTTATTATTATTTGACTAGAAAATTAATAAGGCACTAGAAAGCACTAACGAAGCACTAATGAATGGACCATACCCGAGGTCTAGTGCTTCAACTGTGCTTGCCTACTTCACAGAGCCCATGTTGCGTTCTAATATCCGCATCTCAATATCTACGTTCCAATGTTCCCGTCCTAATGTCTGCGTCCCAATGCCATAGCGCACAGTATGTTTTGTTCGCTGCATTTCTTGAGAAGGTGTTTTCACTTTTCGCTTCAATTATTTCAAAATTAAGTATGTATTCTAAACTAGTCACACTTCTATAATCTATTAATAATACGTAATTAGAGAAAACTGGAAAAGGGGGAAGACTAAGTTTAATTAGGGTGTTGTTTTCGTCGAAAAAAATAGAGATCTCCCCTCGGATCTACCTTATTTTCTTTGTCTTTAAAAAAAGGAGAAAGGTTTTTTTAAACACTTTAAAAAGGATTCTACAAGTTTTTCTCGAAAAATGCACAGTTTTGCCGTTCTTTGACTTTGAAGCCCTGTAATTTAGCGTTTGACGAACAAGAGCTAACCTTTAACAAGCCATAACTCGGTTCGTATTGATCATACAGCAATAATAAAAAAATAATTTTCTTTGTTTTTTTAGTAGTTACGAAAATCGTTCTGCAGTTTTTAAAAATAAAATGTCTACTTTTCGAGTGTTTCGCGAATAACCAATTAAAAACATTGATTCTTTCTATGAAAAAGTCATATATTCAATTCATTTTTCTATTTATTCCTGCGGTCAAATTACAATAAAGAATGTCCACTCCCGAGATGGGGTGGCAACCACCTCTAGGGTGGAAGCACCCTTTGGCATGATATATATGTACGATGTTGATCCTTAGACTACTCCCCATCTACTGGAAAAATTTTCGATTCTTTTTGAAAAAATTGCCAGGGCAAAACCTTTTTTAAAATAGGATGGGATAATCACTTAGAGTACTTAGACCATATAGTACATGGACTGCTAATTGTACTGTATGGTCTAAGGATAATCAGCCCTCAAAGTGTTTGTTTACAATGAACGTAAATATTTCATAAACCGTAAACTCGTAAATATTCGTATCGTTTCCGTAAATTTACTTCGCTGTTTACACCAAAGATCATACTGCATAGTAGTATGACGTTTGACCGTACGTAACTTTGAACCATTTTCAACTTTTGCGACTATGCACAAAACTGACATATCGCTTACGTCTCGTACGTAAAAATTACGTTCATTATAAACCCCTTCGTATGTTTCTATACGTTTTATGTATTTCTTACGTATACGTTCATTGTAACCAAGCACTAATATGTGATAGACGCCATCGCGTGTTTTTTTAAGTTGAGAGTGACAGACATTAATTAATTTTTTCTACAACTGTCAAAAAAACCTGTCATTTTCTGACGAATTTCGAAACGCGAAGTACTAGATTTTGAAACGGTTAATTAATAAGTAAGGTTGCCATTGACAACGTGCGCGAAATTGTCAACAGTGAAAAAAAGTATTTCGCGCACGTGACAAAGTTGAACTTAAACAGCAAATTTAATTAACAATCGGTTCAGTTGTAGAAAAAATATTGTATATAACGCTAGCGCGAAGTTATTTCGCACATTTGACTGATATTTTACTCGGCTTCGCCTCGTCAAAATACCTTCAGTCTCAATGCGCGAAATTGAACTTCGCGCTCTTGTTATATAAATAACTATTATATTGGCAAACTTGCAAAATTAACTTAAAATTAATTAAAGTACAGGTAGTAGGTAGGTAATTTATGACCTATAAATTTTAGATAATTGATAGGTAGATACAAATAAATGCCACTAAAAGAAGTTTGGTTATGTATTTGTTTTTAATTGTATGAAATAGGGACTGTCAGTAATTAAAAACAAGTGCTAATCATCAGTATTCAGAAGATGCTGTATTCTCTAATAAACAACAATTTTAAGTAAATAAACTAGGTTAGTTTAGTTTTGCAAGTTATACCAACATAAAGCTGATTAGAATCAGTCACTACCAATTTAAAAAAGCAGGCGATGGCGTCTATTGTAAGATGTGTTGGACTGGTTGGACATTTTTATGATATCATCATTATGGTGATTGGCAGTCAATTTTTTTAAGAGGTCAGTGGTGGCATTCTATCAGGTCGCTTTTCGTCGGTTCTTGATAAACCTGTTGGCTCGAGAACAGTAGGGATATACGCAGATGCCAAAGAATGAAATAAATGTCGATGAGTTTGGATAAACTATATTTAATAATATTCTAAACACGATGATACATGAGGTTACATTACATCTTTTTGTTACTCCCAATCTTACCAACATCATATTGCCAACCTTCTATTACTAACACACCCCCTCAATGTGATGATTCTTATACTATGAACAATACAAGAAAGAAAAAAAATAAAACTTTAATATGTGCTTAAGCCCAACTTATTTCTAAATTTACAAAATAACTCTTTTCCTAACGGTTTAGTAAACAAATCTGCTGCTTGATCTTCCGTTTTAATATAACCATTGAATAAAAACACTATGTTCAAGAATCGACTCTATTGACAGTGTTCCCATTATATTCTCAGTTCAAACTCTGTCGCGCTTTATTTCCACGGGGTTAGGCTTCTTATAGTGTTTTTATTCAATGATATAACTTAATTTAATAAGACCTTCAGCAACTTTATCTTTTACAAAATGATACCTTATGTCTACATGTTTTAGTCGACTATGACTCTCCGAGTTTTTTGCTATCTTAATTGCTGATTGATTGTCCTCAAAAATTTCTATCGGTTTATTTGATAACCCACATTTAAAGTCTGCAATTAAATTGCTGAGCCAACACGCTTCGCTTACTGCCATGCTAAGTGCAACGTACTCGGCTTCGGTTGACGATAACGCTACACTCGGCTGTTTCTTGGAACACCACGACACAGTGCAGTCGCACAGCTTAAAAAAGTATCCCGTTGTTGATTTCCGATCTTTACAATCCCCACCCCAATCAGCATCAACATACCCTAACAAACCTAAATCTTTACATTTATATACTAATTTTAGATCAATTGTGGCCTTTATATATCGAAGCACTCATTTCAAGGCTTTATACAATTCATCATTAGCACAACTTTGAGAACGACTCAGATACGATAAACTAGCACACAGATCTGGTCTGGTGCCGCAAACTGCGTAAACTAAACAACCAATTAATTTTCTACATTGTCTTACTAAATTCTCATTTGGGATTTTGTCACTCATTTCTAATTTAAAATTTTTTTCCATTGGTGTTAACATTGGTTTACAATCATACATTTGAAAACGTTTAAGAACTTCCATTAGATATTATGCTTCTTGTGAGATTTCAACAATTCCTTTCTCAATATGCTGTTTTACATTAATTCCTAAATAATTTGATATGAAACCTAAATCTCTTATTTTAAAATTCCTATTTAAAATAACTTTAAGCTCACTAACTTCCTTTTGATCAGTTCCAAAAATTAGTAAAACATCTACGTACAACCCTACCGTTATCGCACCCCTTGTCCTTCAAAATTCGGTATCGACATTCACTGATTTTATGTCCGGGTTTTTTACAGTAGTAACACGACAATGTTGTTTTACCCTCTGAATTCCCGCTTCTACAGAATTTCTTAATGTGCCCCTCTTTTGCCGCAGTGATGGCACCGTAATTCCTTTTGCAGACTTTTTGCAGCCAACGCAGATGTTGTGCATTCCTCTTGGTTCTTCATTCGATCCTCCTCCATCAGGAGTCTTGCAATCAGCTCGTCAAGTTTCTGGTTGTCTTCTGCTACGGACTCCCATGCAGAAACGAAATATTTGTATTCCTGTGGTAGTGACATTAACAGTTTTGTCATAAGCATTTGTTCCGGTACTTCTTGACCTAATTGCTTTAATTCGTTACTAATTTCTTGTAACTTCGCTACGTGAACAGACATGGATTCTCCACCATATTTGAATGCAAAGAAACGTTGCTGTACTAAGTGTACACTCACCGTCGATCGTTTTTCATATATACTTAACAACTGCTTCCACATCTCACATGCCGACTCACATGTTATTACATGCAGCATCGCACTTTCTGACAAACGGTTCACGATAATACTTTGAGCTTTTGCATCATTTTCGATCCATTTCTTTTTCTCTTCATCGCCTTCCGGCTTTTGTACCGTACCATCCACAACTTCAAACAGTCCCTGACCCTTAAATAGTACTCGTAGTTGAAATTTCCACACGTTCCAATTAGTGGCTCCTTCTAACTTATTTACACTAATCGTTGCTTTTTCCATATCCATCGTACTTTACTTGTAGGTGTCTGGGCCCATAACCAATGAAATAAATGTGGATGAGTTTGGATAAACTATATTTAATAATATTCTAAACACGATGATACATGAGGTTACATTACATCCTTTTTGTTACTCCCAATCTTACCAACATCATATTGCCAACCTTCTATTACTAACACAAAGCCCTTATCAGATCGTTTAAAGCTGCGTGGCGACCAAATCTACCTGCACTCATCTGGCAACTTAATCCATGTACTCCGGTACGATCAACATTGTCTCCACATCTGCATTGATGAGGGACACACTTGCATCCTAAACGGAGATCAACTGCAATTCGGAACGTATTGTTGTCTAACATGGTTCCTATTGTCCTTGATGGAATTGCAGTGAGCCATGCACTTGCTTCTGCTAATTTTATATTCAAAGCTTCTGGTGTTCTTGAAGCAAGGAACTTTGCTTTGTTCGATTGTAACTCCAAAGGCAGGTTTGAAATAACCCGAACTATATTTAGATTGTCCCAATATTTCTGGTATTGGGGTACCTCGGGTTCCATGTAATCAGGACAAAGACTATAGTCCATTGCGCTAAAGCATCTTTGTAAAATGCAATCATGCTTATGTCTGTTAGAGAGAGGGGTAACATGTCACAGACAAGAGCAAAAGTGCCATTTACCGAAGATAAAAACGCGGGCAAATCGATATCCGCAATTTGTCGTATGCCGATTCCACCGTAGTGCGTTGGCAAAAAAGCAAGAATAAATTTGTTCTCTTCAAGTTTAGTGTTCAAAATCTCTTCCAAAGTAATCTTGATGATTTCATCAAACTGTAGTATAGTTTTAGGTAGTATCCACGAAGGAGTCGTACGAAGCAAGTATGTGAGTTATGGGATGCGAAACAGTTTTAAAATGAACGTCGTTTTTAGTTCTTCTAGTTTCTCCTCCAACGTATGTCGGAAGCCTTCAAGGTTAAAGGGGATCCTACCAAATTTAGATTTTCTGAAACGACCTTGATTCCCTGGGACAGTTCTTGAAAAAATTTGTTAACACTCGAGGTTCCATATCAGAGCAAAAGTGTAGTTCGCATTTGGAAAGAGACCAAGTTTATGGATTTATCAATAATATTCTGGAAATCCTTTAATACTGATTCAGGATTTTCTCCCAACGTTCCGTCATCTCTCGCCAACTCTCGAAAGTAGAGCATCCTTTCCATAGAACAGTAAAGTAGGAGATGAATAGGATTGCCATAATAGAGGAGAGAGCTGGTGTCTTCTCTCTGACTTCATGAAGTAAAACGTCTCGCTCCACTGAGTTAAATGCGTTTTTGAAGTCAACTTTTTGAAAGATCTTTTCAGAGTTACAGTTTAATTTTAAATAAGTCCTTGCAGCGTGAACAGCACATCTTCTTTTAGTTGCAAAACCCAACTGGCCGGGACGAAAGTAATCTCCGATTTTTGACAGAATATCTGAACAAGCTAGTTTTGCAGTTAGACGTCGAAAAGTATTTTCATCAGCAATTGGAAATATAAATATAACAGATCAACTTCCCACAAAAATTCACGTCACTGCATTAGAATGTGGAGTATGAAGTTGGACGGAGTGAGGTCACAAAGCCATTTATACCGGACAGTTCAGGAATGTAAGCACATTACCACTCTTCTTAGTTAAATTACCCTTAAGAGTCTTCTTTACCCAAGCGCAACTTTTTTACATTATAGTATATAGACGATTATAGTTGCAAGAGACAAGATGGTATTTTTGCTTTGTCAACTCCTGTCTTGGTCCTTAGTTAGTTTCCGCCGACACTGAGCAGCGGCGCCACTTGTTACACTGAAATTGTTGATTTACCGCCCGCCAAGATACAGACTTTATTTACAAAAAATATGATTTCATTTTTTGGGGTCATGTTTAGAATTAACTTATCTAAAAAACTGTCGGTTTACTTTTTCCAAAAATCGTCTTGATCGCGAGTAAAAAAATGAAACAGATTAGCGCAATAATCGGTGCAAAACAGCTAATCTTTAAAAAATTGATATTCAGTTGCTATACACTTTTTAAAAAAAATAGTCCGAACATTTTGTAGATAAAGGTCTAAATTTATAAAATAGTTCTTTAAAAAAATTTTTTTTTTAAAAACAACTAGAGTTTTTATGGCGGGCGCTCTTATGGAAATTTACATTGGGTGCAGTGGGTACAGAAGACTCTTAACGAAAAATATAAAATGCTTAGACGAGAATAGGTCCTTTGTTAACTACTTACATTCTAGATTCTTAACTGCTATTTATTACCTATACTAACTATACTTATTTATATTAGGAGGGCCAGGCTAGTAATAATATATTTTAACACAATTCAGATGCATAACTGAAAGCGGAACATTGGCCCGTATGAATAAAGGTAAGCAAATGCTTATACTTGCAAAATTCAAAGTAAATACTCGTAAGTGCTTCTTCATACTGGTCTGTTTAGCATGGTTTAGCAGCGCTGCACTGCGTCCTGTCCGAGGTCCTGTTCTTCTGCTTAGAAGCGCTGCTAAGTCGCCCAGGGCGGAGGAGCACTTACGAGTATTTACTTTGAATTTTGCAAGTATAAGCATTTGCTTACTTTTATTCATACGGGCCATTGTTTAAAATTCAAAAATTGTCCTGCGACGAACATTCTTCGGGAACTCGCGCACCAAGGATGGGCCTTCTAAAAAAAAACACTAATTAAACGGTACAATTACAAAATGAAATTTAGTAACAGTAGGAACAAAAACAAATCCAGCGGTAATTTATAATACAAAACATGTAGACGGTGGCGGCGTCGATAGTCGGCGGAAGACGGTCGATTGACGGCAGGAAGCGGCGGAACGGTAGTGCTTCGGGCGCCACTAGAAGGTTTTCAGAATTCCTGCTTCTGGTCAGGATTTGGGACTTTGACGGAAAGATCCTATTTCATTGTGCGTCCATTCGAGTAGGGATAAATTGGGATTCCCGTCTCGTACGCTTATCCCTTCGATACGTTCAAATAAATTAAACTGTTTTTAATTAATTACTTACTCTCTTCCCCGGCATCGGAAAAATATGGGACCGATGCCATCAGACTTAAAATTTTTTAAGATCACACCTAAGGGATGTAGTTTCGACTTAATCGGCGGTTATCTGTAACCCATTCTCCTAATTAGGGTTAATTATACTTATCCAAATAGTCGGAATGAAATTCCAAATTCGGCAGTCCAGCAATGCCCTTGGAATGTGAGTTCAAGCGCCGCAATCGGTTATTACCTACGTTGATGTTTTCCTTAAACTGCACAACCTTGCCGGTTTCAATCCTGGATTTTCATATACCATTAGAAAACTAAAATCGATTAATGGGTAATTAACGGACTTAAAACTAAATAAAGATTGATTCTCTGTCTTCTTCCGTGGCAAGAGAGCTTTCGGCGGTTGTAAAAACAATTTAGATATTTTTACAAGAACGGTTGCAAAACGCATAAAAATACTACGAAACTTACATGCGTTGTTGAACTTCAGGGCGGAAAACGGGTGCTTCGTGACAGTCCACTCTACTTTCTTGATTATGTCAGTCGCCCGAACTGAGACTCAACTATTATGGGTATAAAATCGGTTCCTAATGTATGTGCATAATTTGAACATAACTACTGGGCACTATTAGAGTTACAATGAGCAATTAATAAAATTAATTCGGAATCAATTCTCACAGTTTTTGTGGATCAGACCCTACAAATGTGATTTTTAATAAAAGAAGGTTTTAAGTGGGTGAATTGAAATTGAAACTAATTATATCGGAAATGAAAATTGTATGTTTGTTTGTATACCTATGTGTATTTTACATTTGGTACTCAAGTAGGTATCTTGTTGAGTTGAGATACCCTGTGGAAAGTTTTTTTATGCGATAGGTAATCTATTTTAAGTTTAAGTTTTAACCTCATCCTTTTGCAGAATATATTAGCGTTTTTTTGTATTAACCTTTTTGGCCTTTTATTAATTACTTTACATTTTACAGTCATAAAGGTGGTTAATTACTTTACATTTTACAGTCATAAACAGAGTTGGACTGGGTCACCTGGGTCACTAAATTAAACTGGGTCGCTGGGTCACGTCATACTCTTTTCAGTTAGACCCAGTGACCCAGTTTGACCCAGTTTTACCCAGCGACCCAATTTCACCCGGGGACCCAATTCGACCCAGTCACCTAGTTTGATCGAATAACGCAGTTAAGTCAGTGCCCTCGGTTCAAGTGTACAGATTATGAAATAAATGAAATGCTGGTTTGTTGAAAATAATACTCGATTGCTTGACAACTGCCATTTCTGTGATGTTTGCTTTAATATTGCCGTAAAAAACTTTCCATGTGCCGAATTGTATTAGAATAATGTTATTTCTTTGCTTCAGGGCTTACCAGTTTGCTTACAGGTGTTCATTCACATTTAATTTTTTCTACTAGTTAGCTTAATCCAAATAAATCTTTTCTCTAAATACTTTCATTGACTACTTGACTACAAACTATAAGCAAATGCATTTGATTTTTTTAGGTATTAGTTCTCTTGAATGAAATTGGGCTACGTGCTTTTTGCCGAATATTATTGAGGAAGTTTTTTTTTAAATTAAAAGTTACTTGAAATTGTTTTGGATGATACCTAACTGTTAAGGAAATTTATGTATAGTTTTTGTGTTCACCCTGTGTGTAACATTTTTGTTATACTGTAAATTGCCAGTTTTGTGCGGACTGTTCTTGCGCAGGATGGAGGGAGTCGGAGTGTAGGAGCATGGCAATTGCAATAAAACATGGTAGCAAGAAGGTTGTTTAATATATAGTCACGAGAAGCCATTCGTTTTAAGCCGAAATAAACAAAAATCATACAGTCCACTCAATTCAAGGGCAAAACATTGGTCCTTCGAGCCGGATATAACAGAAGAAAAATCAAATGTGTTATTAATTTTAGCTGTTGACGTGATATTCGCATGCGGCTTCCCCTCAGTGTTCCAAGTAAAATATGGAATGGTAA